TCTTATTGACTTAAAGCTATATATATCATAATACAAAAATGCATTCTACTACCACCCGGCTCTGTCCAACTTCAAAAGTCACTATATTCCATCACAGTCTCAATATTGTCCAAAAGTTTAAAGTCTCGTCTGAGATTCATGACAATCTCTTAACTATCAACCCATAAAATAAAAATAAAAAGGTCAATCACACAGTTCCAACATACACTGATACAGAATGTACATTACCATTTCAAAAGGGAAGAAAGGAAGCATAGTAAGAAAATACTGGACCAAAGCAAGACTGAAAATCAGCTGGGCAAACTCCAAACTCTGGATCTCCATGTCTGATGTCAAAATGCTCTTCAGATCTCCAACTCCTTTCCACTTTGTTGACTGCAGCACATTTCTCTCTCGGGCTGGATCCACACCCAATCCGCAACTTTTCTTGGCAGATATCTTATGACTCTGGCATCTGTAACATCTTGGAGTCTCCAGTGAAATCCAGGCATTACTTTCACAGTTTCACACAGTGGCCTCTGTATGTCACCATACAAGGACACCTTAACACATGCCTGGCCTCAGCAGCTTTACTTAGCCTCAAAGGGATAATTCACAACCCGTTTTTGTATCATTGACTCTAAAGCCAGAACTCATTTCGGGCTAGGTGCCAAGTTGTACTGCTTGATGGGGTGGCTTGAATCAGGCCTCCTGTTCATAGACATTTGCCTCAGCCTTTGATGTTGATGGCTTCCTTTACTGCTTAAGCTTTTCTTTACTTCTTTTTCACAAGTTTAAGCTTAGATGGATGCAGTTTTGCTCTGAGGTCACCACTCCTTTTATTCCATTTAGCATCAGGCTTTTCTTAAACTTTTTATCTCCTTGAGCCCTGAACTTTTTGTTCTGTTGCACTTCCTGGTCCTTCTTTTCTCCTCAAACTGTACATTTTATATTTTTTCTTGCTCAGCTTGCTTCTTTTCTTTATATATCTGAATAAGAGGGGCCACTAGCAATATGACATAGTCAATATTTGGCAGTCTTGAAATCTCTGCTAGTATCATTAATCTAAAACTGTTCAATTTAGCCTCAGGCAGATTTTTAAGACTCAGGCAAAAACAGCTACATTCTTTGCCAAAATGTTGCAAGAATGGTCTCTAGGCCACTTACTAATATCCTTCCCATCTGAAACTTCTTGAGCTGGGTTCAAATCACCTTTAGCACTATCATCACTATTCCTGCTAAGATAGCCCATTAAGCCCTACTTAAAGCATCCAACCCCTTTTCTTCTCTCCTCCCTCCCTTCCTCCCTCCCTCCTTCCTTCCTTCCTTTCTTTCATTTCTTTTCTTTTTCTTTCTTTTTTTTTCTTTTTTTGGTTTTTCGAGATAGGGATTCTCTGTAGCTTTGGAACCTGTCCTGGAACTAGCTCTTGCTGACCAGGCTGGCCTCGAACTCAGAGATCTGCCTGCCTCTGCCTCTCGAGTGCTGGGATTAAAGGTGTGCGCCACCACTACCTGGCCCCCCTTTTCCTTTTTTGAAAGATGTGTTTATTTTTATTGCAAATGCAATGTTCATAATAAAAATAAATAGATGAATATTGTTACTATGTTTATTTTTATTATGAATAGTGTTCTGTCTACATGTATGCCTGCAAGCCAGAGGAGGTTGCCAGATCTCATTATAGATGGTTGTGAGCCACTGTGTGGTTGCTGGGAATTGAACTCAGGACCTCTGGAAGGACAGCCAGTGCTCTTCAACACTAAGCCATCTCTCCAGCACCCAACCCCTTTTCTAGTTCAGAGGCTTCCATATTCTACCAACAAGCAGCCTGCTACAGCAATGCCCCAGTCCCTGGTACCAAGTTATATCATAGTCACTTTTCTATTACTGTGAAGAGACACAATGACCACAACAACCTCCCCTTTTTTTCTTTGGGGCCTGTCCTGGAACTTGCTCTGTAAACCAGGCTGACCTCGATCTCAGAGATTTGCCTGCCTCTGCCTCCTGAGTGCTGGGATTAAAGGAGTGCGCTATCACCACCCAACATGACCACAACAGGTCTTAGCTGGCTTACAGTTTGGGGAGTTTAGCCCCATTATTTTCATGGTGGGAAGCATGGCAGCAGACATGGAATGCATGGTGCTGGAGAAGTAGATGAGAGCTACATCCTGATCCAAAGGCAGACGGAGATACTGAGTTTAACATGAACTTTTGAAACCTCAAAGCTCCCTACACTTCCTCCAACAATGCCACACATCTTAATCCTTTCAAATAGTGCCACTCCATGGTGAGTAAGCATTCAAATATATGAGTCCGTGAGTTCCATTCTTATTCAAACCACCACACCAGATGAAAGAACTATTCTAAAAGTTGTTTGAACTGTTTCAGTGAAAAAGGATGGACTAAATGTATTTTATGCTTCCTATTTTCTTAAGTAAATTGCAAAAATACTTATCATTTTGATTATTCAAAATCAACATGGAAATAGATCCATTATTATTTATGTTATAGCATAGTTTTATCCTGTGGTGTATCTGCCCCCTTTACTGATGGACTATCACCTGGTTCTTCACATTGTTACATCTATTCACATATCATCTATTCCTGACACATATTTCTGTATATTTCTTCTATACTTCCCTGGTTATAATCTGAGAAAGCAAGTAACAAGTTTGTTAAAAATTTATATGCAATAAAAATATCTAATAGCCGGGTAGTGGTCACACATGCCTTTAATCCCAGCACTCAGGGAGGCAGAGGCAGGCAGATCTCTGAGTTTGAGGCCAGCCTGGTCTATAAGAACCAGGACAGCCAGAGATATATGGAGAGGCCTTGTCTTGAAAATAACCAGAAAAAAAGAATCTAAACTCTGCTTAAGAGCCTGAATGTGAGCATCACACATGTGTAAAACACATCTAATTAGTTAGAGTAGGTGCATAGAGGCATTTTCCTTGGGTTTTGGTTGTCTTCCAAAGGACTGGACTCACTAACCATTCCAAATACCAATAAGTATGTTATTAATTGCGTTTTGTTTTAACTTGAGTAATATTTTTTTTAACAGACTTGATTCACTTTTATTTTTCTTGTATAAAAACCCTTATGTGGTGGCCACAGCTGGAGCCTGGGTCCTCTGAACAGAGACTCTGGTGCGGGTTTTCACTAGGTGGTCAGTGAATTCCTGATATGGAGACTTGGTGAGCACAGTCTCTTTCCAGAGGTCGGGGGTCAGGAAGCTGTAGGTCTTAGAGATGGCATCAAAGGTGGCCTTGGCAAAGTTGCCCAGGGTGGCAGTGCAGCCCCTGGCTGATGTGTAGCAGTCATCAATGCCGGCCATCATCAGTAGCTTCTTGGGCACAGGAGCGGAGACTATGCCAATGCCTCTGGGGGCAGGGATGAAACGCACCGGCACAGAACCACAGCGGCCTGCCACTTTGAAAGGCACAGTGTGGGGCTTGCCAATCTTGTTCCCCAGTAGCCTCTCGGCACAAGGACAATGGAAAGTTTGGCCAAGATGATGGCCCCTCGGATGGCAGTGGCTACCTCCTTGGAGCATTTAACACCAAGACCTACATGACCATTGTAGTCCCCAATAGCGACGAAAGCCTTGAACCTGGTCCGCTGGCCTGCCCTAGTCTGCTTCTGCACGGGCATGATCTTCAGAACCTCATCCTTTAGGGATGCTCCCAGGAAAAAGTCAATGATCTCGGACTCTTAATGGGCAGGGAGAACAGGTAGATCTCCTCTAGGGACTTGATTTTCATGTCCTTAACCAGGCAGCCCAGCTTGGTGACGGGAATCCACTCCTTGTCTTCAGCTGTACCTCCGCTAGCCCCGCTGCCTCGGCCACGGCCTCGGCCCCTCAGACCGCTACTGAATCCTCCGCGGAAGCCGCCACGGCCTCCTAATCCTGGGCCCCCGGGGTCCTCCGGGCCCTCCTGCTGCACCGGCGTCATCCGCCATTGGTGTTTTCCAGAAGAAGAAGAAGCTTGAGTAATAATTTTTTGGTTTGTATTAAGCAGGACGCAATTGCAAAAATACTTTCTATAGAAAGCTCTAAGAAAAAAAAAATAAGGGCTAGAAGATAGTTCAGTGGTTAAAAGCACTTGGTATTGTATAGGACCTGGTTTGGTTCTCAGCACCTATATGGATGGATCATAACCTTCTGTGATTCCAGTTCCAGAGGATCCAGCACCCTCTTCTGGCCTCCATGGGCACTAGGCATGCATGTGGTACACAGATATACATGCAGGCAAAAAGCTCATACACATAAAATAAAAACAAGTGAGCTGGGCAATGTTGGCGCACACCTTTAATCCCAGCACTCAGGAGGCAGAAACAGGTGGATCTCTGTGAGTTCAAGGCCAGCCTGGTCTACAGAGGGAGTTCCAGGACAGGCTCCAAAGCTACAGAAAAACACTGCCTTGAAAAGAGAAGAAAGAAGAGGCTTAAAAAAATTCACACTACCATTGATTATCTGAACACTAAAAGGGATATTCATAGTTTTTGCTTTTAAAAAATCTCTAAAAAGCAAATGTTGGGCTAATATTGTCTTTTCCTCAGAGACCTTCCTATCTCCTTTCTATCTCCATCTGTTTTATTGAATAGAGCCCTTTGAGAATAACTACCAGTGTTTACTTGAAATAGAGGTAGGCACTAGTCTTGCGAACATCACTTCCCAGTATACAGTTATGTAAAGTCTGCTGACTTCACTTGTGTTTACTCTGAGCATTAATTTTTCCAGTGCTCATAATTTTCACTATGCTTATTTGGCTAAATTTTGCTAATTTAATGTCCCCTTCCTGCACTGTGTATTACCTGTTATGATGATGGACCTGTAATATGCAAGAATGTATATGCTAGTAGGTCTTTGACTAAACACTAACTTCTGATTTTGCTAACAGTATAAGCTGATCTTTAGATCATTAATTCTTTTTCACTCTTACCTGTGTCAAGATTGGTACTGTATTGTGGTTCCATGGACATCAGGAATTCTGTATGCTGTCTTCTTTCTTTCTACCTATAGGTCCCAGTCATGCAGGGAGCAGGCATTCAAGCAGCGAGCATGCAAGGTGGAAACCAACCTGGTGGCTTTAGTCCTGGACAGAGCCAAGTCACACCCCAGGATCATGAGAAGGTAAGCAACACTTCTCACTGCCTCCCCATGCACAAATCTAGTATTTTTGATCTTTTTACAGTTACCATGAAGATCCTGGATCTTCAAAGTTCCTTTGGATGCAATGTTTACTCCAACTTAGGACTCTAATGATCTTGACTGAGCATTTTGGGGACCTGAACCTTAAGTTTTTAAGTGAATATAATTGACAACTTATTTTACATTTCAGACTAATCTATAAATGTTAATTGTTTTTCTGTGCAAGCCAAACTGACCTAAAAGTCCAAGCTCCTCTCTGCCTCCCCTTTCTACCGATACTTAAACAAAATAGCAGATTCACCACAAGTATATTTTTCTGTTGTTATACTTGGCTATTGTTGGGAGCTTGTGTCTGATAGGAAGGATTAAACTTGTGAAACGAGAAACTCAAAACAGTGCTCACAGATACCATCTTAGTATGCAGGAACTTTGAGTTCCTGGAGCATCTCTTTGCACCATCTAATCTTAGGTATTTTCATTTATTCTTGTGCTTCACTGTGCCTTTTCTCACCATTTTCTTTATTTTGGCTTGCTATGTGTGTGTGTGTGTGTGTGTGTGTGTGTGTGAGAGAGAGAGAGAGAGAGAGAGAGAGAGAGAGA